TGATGCATTTGAAGGACTGCGAGCAGAGGAATGCGGTGTGCTGAACGGATGTGAGAACGGACGGTGTGTGCGGGTGCAGGAGGGATACACCTGCGACTGCTTCGATGGATACACACTCGACATGTCCCGCATGGCCTGCGTGGGTGAGCAAAAGCAGATTCTCACATGAGGGGATCAGGCTGGTTTTTCAGGATGTGGGTGGGATTAGCTCAGGTTTACGTTTCAGATCGTTTCAACCCTAAAGAATTTATTTGAAGAATAGAAAAATCTATGCTTTTATTATTAATAATTTGGTGCGGTTGGGTGCAAATTTTCCTGCACAAGTGTCTGAGCTTCAGGATTAATAAAATCAAAACTAGATTAAAAAATAAGATACAAATAATTAATTAAATAGTATGTTTAGTAATTTTATGTGACTGGATTTAATTTGTGGATGTTATTAAGGCATACAAGCAAAGGGTTGAGGGTGATTCAAAACCTCATCTGTCAGGTAACTTCAAAATTGCTTTTCCCATCTTATCCCAGAAAAGTGACGTGATTATAGACAAGCTAATCTCCTGAAATGAGGCATGACTGAGCAGATGATAAATTATATAACAGAGTTGTTATTAGGGTTGGGAACCGAGAACTGGTTTCTATTCAGAACCAGTTAGGGGAAAAAAAAGAAAGAAAGACGAATGACAATACTTATTCAGTGACATCGCAACACTGCTACAGAATCTACAGCGAGTGTGATTTCCAAAATGAATGATTCTTATGAATTGGTTCTTTTAGTGAATTTAGTGAAGCTACTGAACAACCAGTGTAGTCCATTTTTTAAACAAATGATTCTGGGTCTGGGTTATTTTTTTAGCTAATCAAAAACATACAACTCAACTATGCAAATTCTCCAATTAATGACTCTTATAAGTTATTTTAGTGACAGATAAAAACAAAAACGCAGCTTACAGCTAACTGTGAAACTTAGATCAGTGTACTGTAGTGTCTGACTGGTTGTTGATATGACAACATTAGTTAAAGATACACATTATGTCTTTTGCCAGTAGTATTGTAAAAAAAAAAAAAAAAAAGAATTAAATGTTACCACATTTTTGTCTGTTTGCCATTCTACAATATCTCTTCAGTCTTTTAAAGAATGCACATTTTGCTTTAGCAATAAAATTCCATTTACTTTTTCAACAAATATTTGTAACCCTAAAAACTAAAATAATTATTATTCGAATTGTCAAGGGTGAAGTTGAGTCCCAAACTCTTTGTGGTTTGTGTTCCAGATATCAACGAATGCTCAGAGCTGAATACAAAGATGTCTCTTTGCAAGAACGGCAAGTGCATCAACACGCAAGGCTCATATACATGCGTGTGTCTGCCAGGATTTGTCCACTCCGCCCAGCACAACTACTGCGTTCCTCACAGACAGAATGCCACGAGCACGGAGTGACCAGCAGAGGGCGCAAGATATACTAAAAACACTCTTATTTAATCAAGGCCCATATACTCTGCACTGTATAAAACAAACACCCAAAAAACAAACATAGAAAAAAGTCCTACTTGAGATGAAGAGTTTAATGTGCTATCTAATGGTGTCTATGAGAGAACTGTATAAAATATTTGTTTTATTGGTCTATGTAAGTTTATTATTTTTTACTGTATTAGGAAGTAGAAGACTGTTTGAACATAGCAGAGGTGATATTTCAGCAAACTGACAAACCCTATGACCTTAAGCTGGGGGACTGCTTTATTTTACCCAGTCAGAGACACAGAGCGTGTGGATATTTTACTAGTGCAAAAGCCAGACTCTCTTGTTCCACTTTTACTTTCTTTCCATTTCTTCTTTTGTTTTATTCATTGTCCTTTCCCTTCTTTCATTATGTTTCTAAATCGTTTATTGGCTGATTTTTCTTTATATCGCTGTCTTTTTTTTTTTTTCAGTTTACTTTCACATTTTAGTGAGGCAGACCACACCAAACAAACACACCTGCAATACATAGAGTCATAAGAAACACACAGCACAAAACGTTTTCAGTGTCAAGTCTTTAAAATAAGCTTTTTATACAAGCTGCTTTGTATTAATGACAGACGCCAGCTAATTCTCTGTGTCTGGGACATTAGTCCACTGCAGATGTCTGCCCTGTGGAGCAGGCATGACCTTTAACCTCACCTTTCTTCTAGAAATTATTATTATTATGTTTCTTTAAAAAGAAAATAATAAAATGAAGAACCTTTATGTATTTAGTTTTTACAGAAATCTTTTACTGCATTTGATAGAGTGGGTGAAATGTCTTGCCAGGTTGCAAAGCTGCTATTAAACAGCCGTGGGTTTTTTTCACTCTTTTTCTGTTTATTTTTTTGTACATTTAAACGGAAGAGTTGATAAAAAAAACTATGTATTTGTAATTTGTACATGAATAAATACTTTCTGAATATCCATATAATGTATTAAAACTCTTGAAATAAATCAGAGATGGTGTTTATACTATGCTGTGTTCTGGTGCTTCTCAATTGTGTCACGACCTAATATGGGTTGTTGGGTCGCAGACAGAAAGGAAAATACAATGTTTAAAGGGGTCATATAATGGTACATGCACTTTTACAAGTTGATTGTACTGAAATGTGTGTTGGCAGTGCCTGTACACAACCATCATATAATGATAAAAATCCATCCAGTGTTTTTGTTTTAATCTCCTTATATGTTTTCCCCTGCCTCAAATTGAGCCGTTCGTTTTTGTGACGTCAATAAAACGGACCCCCTCCCACGATTGTTGGATTGACAGCAGCGTTTCAACACAGACCCGCACTAAGACGCAGTGGCTGAGTTTTGTTTTCGAAGGGAATATTCCCCACGATCAACGTCAATGCTTTCATGTTTGCGTGAATCATTTCTCACCAGACTGCTTTATAAACGAGGATCAGTATAAAGCTGGTTTTGCTAAGAAGCTGCTCCTGAAAAAATAATCGGTGGCAACTATTTATGTTCCCTCTGCACCTCCAGAAGAAGTAAGTGTAAAGTTTTATTAACCTTTATATTAATCTTTGCAAATCGCGATAAAATGTTTTTCGTGACCATTTGTAACGTCAATCTATCAATGAACTAGCCCTGCCAGTGCATACAAAAATAGATCAAAGTGACATTAAGTTAACCAACCATTCAGAAACGTCCTGTTCGGGCCTTAATTGTCGAACTTCTTTGCGGCCGTCATCTTGTTCCAGGTCCGATTCCGGTTCAAACTTATACGGTTGCACAGATGTGTCCTCAGCAGAGTTGGGTAAGTTACTCAAAAAAAGTAATCCACTACAAATTACCAATTACTACTTTAAAATTGTAATTTGATTACATTACTGATTACTGCATGTAAAAAGTAATCTGATTACTAATTACTTTACTTTCAAGTTACTTTGAAAACATATTAAAACTACACAAAAATACACTACAAAGTGAAACTCAGTTCTTTCCGTAATTTAATTGGGCGAGCTCTGTGGACCTCCCCCCTTTTGCCCGCGAGTCGTCAGGGAAACGGGCCAGCCCGCTGTAGTGCCGCGCCGTTAAAGCGCCGTACTCAGCGGGTCCCCGAGCCTTCTCCAGCCCGTTAAAGCTCGCCGGTGCGCCTTCCAGCTTCACCAGCTTCACTCGAGTCGCTCACTGACGGACAACGGCCGCCGTGCGCCGCCGCTTCCACCTTTAATGACGACGAGATAGCTGCATCTGTAGAGAAGGACCGCGGCTAGCTTTCTTTACGTTATAAGAAAGCTACCCCGCCCCCGCCCCCCGTAGACGTCTGCGTCCATTTTAGCAGCCGCGTTCTCCGGTAATTCATTAAAGCGCATGCTCATTAACTGACGCAGCCGCGCCAAACGTGATTAGAAATGTATTTTACTTAATATTTTTTTCTTAACAATACATTTGTAACGTAAGTAACTTAATTTTATTGACATTAGTAACTGTAATCAAATTACATACATTTTAAATATAATGAGTTACATTACTGCGTTATCACGAAATGTAATTACACTACAGTAACACGTTACTTTGTAACGCGTTATACCCAACTCTGGTCCTCAGAGACTCCCGCTGCCATTCTTTCTCCAAAATATACCCTCAACTGTTGTCAAGGCAACACTCCACATACATTGTGGCCCGCGGAACAGAGGGGCGGAGTCAGCGAAGCTCATTATCATTTAAAGGCATATACACTGAAACAGCGTGCTGAAAACAGAGCTGTTTTTGACTAGGTAAAATGAGTGTTTTCTTAAAATACTAATGAAATTTTTTAATAACACTGTATTACAAAGTTTTCATTTAGAACCTAAACATTCATATTAACTTGTACAAAAATTGCATTATATAACCCCTTTAAACCAATCGTTGGGGTCTGAAACACTGCAGAATAACATTACATCTTCATCACCTTAAATAATGGTGTAGTTCAAAACAAATGCAGTAGATTTACACCAAATTGTTCTGTTCTCACACTGGTTCAATGGAAAGCATGTCCTTTGTCTTAACTGTTTATCTTGAGCTGTAATCTGGTGTGACAATTTAGGCGACTTGTAATGAGTCGACATCAGTTGTTTTTCAAAGAAAATACAATGGGACAAACTTAACAATAGCCAATAAACCTGTATGTACTATGTATGATATTTATCCAACTAGCATGCTATTATACGCTATTCCAATGCCATCACTGTATAGTAGGACCTACTTTTTTGTTTTTTTTTGTTACTGATGATTTGCCAAGATGAGCTAAAGGACAATCCAGCAAGGATTCCTTTGCTTTCTGCTTGTTATTGTTAATACACTGGAACTGTGTGTGTCTGAGAGAGAGAGACAGAGATAGAGAGAAAGGTAGGCTACAGAATGATTGTTTGATGGAGCGAGAAGAGACAGAGCGAAGGGAAGTGAGGGGTGGGACTGAGTGAAAGAGGGGTGGAAGTGAAGGGGAGGGCCAGAGAAAGCGAAGGGAGGAGAGAGGCAGCATGCATCTGTGTGGGGTCAGTATCACATGCTTGGCTCTTGCACACCACACTGTTGTTGATTGTGTGCGCTTTGATCTCACTGAACAGTGCATCTGACATGCAGTGTTCTCTCTGTCTTTATTTCTTCTTAAGGGAGGCATGGACTTGTAGAGAACTACGCTGTGTGATTCACACCTATGCTGAGTCAAAAGAGCTCCAGTGATCTCCACTGGCAGGTAAGATCTCTTTCTTTTGATCACCTAACAGACTGTCATTCCTATTTAAAGCCTACTATAAAGTTCAGTGGTTGAACACCAACTAATGATAAACTTTGACATGTTGATTTGACTGTGCAGTTTACACACTGAAATGTGTGTGGTCTGTAGTCAGATGGTATTAATGTGATCATCTGAAGAGTACAGAAGGACACTTTACACTCTCAGTGCAAATATGTTGCAGTCGGAGAGATTTGAGGAATTCCAAGGTCACAAACTTTTCTTGTGGTGTATCACGTTTTGTTGTCTCTTGTGTAGTGTCGTGTTGCAGTGTGTTTATGTGATAATAGGAGACAAGCCAGTGAGAGAAACATTGATATTCATTGGTCAGTCCTGATGGTCAGTGTTGGTGAGTGGATAGTAGGTCAGTCTGATCATCATGTTATGCAAAGAGTACACAGGTGTGATGTTGTGTATGCATTTAGTTAGTTTGTGTGTATATACTTTTGTTTTGGGGATTAGTTAGTATTTATTAATTTATATGTAGCATTTTTTACTTATTTTGTATGTCTGCGTCTGTGTGAGAGAGAGAAAATTAACATATTCCTGATTTTAGACAGTTCACATTGCAATCTGCTTAGATGTTGTTTTGAAAATGTTGTTTTAGTTTCAACTTTTGTTTATAAGTCACAGGGACGATCGAGGCCCAAGGACATACTTTCTCTCTGAATCTCACTCGCACACACTGTCACACTGACTCTTTCTTTCAAACACACGCACAGATGCTTTCTCTCTTTCGGTTTATCTCAGTAGCTCATTCTCACTGGTTTTATTAACCATGTCTGTGTTTCACTAATGCATTTATGGAAAAATCACAGTCATCGTTTCATCAAATTTTCCATGAAGCAAATAGCCGAGAATAGGTCATGTAAACGATATCCCAGCATTTAACCTGTGGTTTTTAACCTGCTGCTTGTGAGGACCCAATTCAGAGTTGGCCACAGGTCGTGTGTTTCTGTATGTAGCTCTTGGATGTTTTCCTGTGCAGAAATTAGCCGCACATGTAAATATCTAAATGTGAACTACATGATGTTGAATTAATGTATAGCATTGACAAATAATAAAAACTCATTATTTGGGAACAAAATAAGTAGAACTAAATCTGACAAAACTTCCCTTTGGTGAAATCCAGGGACTTGAAATAAAGTTATATTAACTTTATATAAAAACAATAGAAGTCTCAGGTTTGTCAGTATTTAGGTGGTGTGAATAATAACCCTCTGTCCTTTAAAGGAAACTTGTTTGCTGTGCTGGTAATCTGTGGGTCGGATCAGCAGATAGTAATATTTAAGCTCTGTTAACACACTAGCCCTGAACACACACACTCATTCACAGAGCTGTTGTTTCTGCAGTTACACAGAGTCTCTGACAGCAAGTGTAGGCAGGTGTCTGTAGCATGGATGGTCTCACTCCACTACCTCATTCCACCACTTTCCCTCATATGCTGTCTCATAGTACCTTTTTTCCTGCCATTGGACTCCGTCTCTATCCAGTCTCACTTATCAATGTTATTTGCAGTGCGATTGTGAGCCATAGCTCCTGTTTCCAGTAAAATGGCAGGCTATTTATAGAGCAAGAGTGTTGATGTGTGTTTGTGCCCTGCTGCGTATGTGCTCGCATGTCTGCATTCTGTCCATATCAGAGTGATTCTGGATTAGCTTCGCGAAAGTATATTCACTTTCAAAGTTTTTCTTTTGCTGAACCTCACAGTGGCTGTTTTCTCCTAAATGTGATGGTTAAACACAGATCTACTTTATTGTTGATTTCATTTTAGTCAGTTTAGAGATTAATTTAATAAAAAAACACTTCTTTATTGATTTAAGTCAGTAAAAATGGCCGTTTGGAACTTATTTTATTTCAGCAATTTTTTTTTACATATGTCGTCTTTTTAAAATTTTTTACTTTATGTACCAGAATAAAACCAGACCATATGCATGTTTGCTATTTGGCTTTTGGTTAACATTATCCAATAGCCCACACATAGCATACGTGATGTCAGCGGAAAAGGAAAATAGATTCTTTGAAGGATCAACTTATATTTTTAATTAAAGATGGCAAAAGACAACTTTTCTATTTCTCTGGAACAACATGCACCAATTAATTGTTCACAATACAGGGAAATAGTGTCAAATTTGATTTCCTCAATATTCCACTCATAGACTTCCTCTTTCTAACTAGAAATCAGGTACAGAAATTCACACACTTTCTAAAATTGAACCAGATGGCAGTGAGTTACAGAAAAAAAAAAACTTAAATCCTATCAAAAATCTTTCCTGTCCTGCTGTGACCTCACATCAGAAACCATTTGATCCCTGAACCTGGATCAGTCTTTAAGTATAGCTCTGTTTCAGCTGTCCTCGATTCAGTCATACGTTACCGCTTGCTTGTGTCATACAGTACAAGCATAACGCAGTGCTTTATTTATGCAAAGTGCACCTGTAACATTTCCTCGTATTCAAACAGCATGCATGAATTTCTCTCAGTCACACATTAGCTACTGCTTTCATGAGTCTTATAATGTCACACGGCCTAAACACAATCTACCTCAACGTAAAGACACGAGTGAAGATTTTATCACCAGTCTTTTTATGTGTACTATTACCCAAGACTTTCATAGCTTTTGAGAAAAGTTACATGGAAGTGTTTTGTAAGTGTGAAGACTGGATAAATAGGTTAGTCATGATTACTGAACAAAACAATCCGGCTCTGAGGAGTTCAACATGTCACTTGGACGTTTCAAGGAATTTCTAAGAATGTTTCTTTGAAATCCAAGTGGATGTTTGGTTAATGGGATTCTTCTCAGACAAGGAGCGTCATGGTTTTATCAGAGATATGACCTGAAATCTTCCACTGCTTTTCATGTGACACAAACCTCAGCCACATACCAATCATTGAAAGAGGCAATAAACTTTTATCATTCAGTCTTTTCAGGGTGATGGAATGTCAGTACTTCATAAAGAGGTTTCAGACGTTTTGTTCTTGTCTACTGACACAGCACACATCAGTAACAATTGCCCGATGCTAACGTTCACGTAGTTGTTTAAAACAAAGACTGAGAGTGTGAAACAAACTGTGTTGGCAGAGCAGGATATGTGCTCATTGTTTATGTTTAGCCGGTTCTTTTTTGGGCTTGAGGAGACGAAACAAGATGGTCTGCATCCCCTTTGAATGAACAGGAAGGAGGACAGAAAAGCAGCTGCTAGTGTCATACTCACACACAATGCACATACACGCTTAGAAAGAAAGAGAGAAAGGGTCCTTCAATGTAGTCATGGCCCACTTTGTCATATGATGATGAAGATTCATTGAGCTGAACTTTAAATCAGTGTTGCGTTCTGCCAGAATATTGATATTCATGCTGGAATTCAGTTACATTAAAAAAGCTCACAGATTACATTGATTACTAACAAAAAAGTATCGACAAGACGGCCTTCTATTGTACTACCATATTTGAAGTTGCTTTTTAAAATAATACTGAAGTTCTCAGATATGTATCAAGTTTTTCCCAAATGTTTCTCCTAAAATTCCTTAGGTAAAATCCAAGTGGATGCTGCACCTGATTTGATTGGAAAGTGCTACATAGTAAACCGCTATATAAATGCCTCAGTCATTCAAATAAAAATAGCAACTAACGAGCTGATGGTAAAATGGTCAAATGTATGTGATTGATATCAAAGCCTAGATCATGTGGTTTTCGATGAATTTAATGAGAAATCTTTTTACTTTTGATTGCAAACTTCTGTAACTTGGCAAAACTTGCAGGTGTTGAGACATTGTTGACAATAGTGTTGACGGCACTTTTCTAAACCTCAAGTAATTTGGCATGTCTCTTCTAGAGTCTTTTTCTCAGGAGAAAATTCTGGGAAAAGATGTCTGTGAGAAAGTCCTATATAAATAACCTGGTACACAAATATGGTAACCCTTTAGCATGTCAAAGCACCATCCTATGATCTTTGTGTAAAATATTTCAAGTACCTATAACTTTGCATAAGCTGAAAAGGTTTTCTTAAATTCTTTCATCATAATGTTTACTTTCATTCAATGACCAACCCTGGTCCTGAACACAGCTGAGTTATAATTGTATCTCAATGTATTTCAGTCTTGAGGTAATAGATTTGATCATTCAGTGGTTCTGCGAGACTCACCTGAAACTTGAGTTAAATTCAGTTGCATGTTTAGTGTTACCAAGCCATTACTTGTGCAAAGCTCTTCCGTTCTGAAACTTGTCTTCACCCCTGTACTGTTGCGTACACAAACCACAGACAGATCGAAGAGCTCGTACCTCACCCAGACAGACCCACTAAAACAGGCCAAACGGGGAGATGGGAAAATGAGGGGCTTGAGGGTGGGTGATCTTAACTGTGAGTAATTCCTGCCCATAAATATCGGCATTTGAATGACAGCCTGCTGGGTGGGAAGTCCTATTGTCCTTGAATAAATTCTCCTCTCTATGGTAACAAGAGGGGCTCGTCCCCTCAAAGAATGGAAGCTGGAAAAATAGGCTCAGAATTTTTGTACGTGGTAGTCATATTAAATATATCTGGCACTCATTTGAAACAAAAGAGAAAGTTGAGAATTGGGGTTGTCCATTGTTTGACCATGCCGTTAATGTCCCTCGCTTTTGTTCAGGCTAAGAGTTTGATGTATTCGCAATTGTTTTGTCACTCTCATTTGAGATCAGATCAAGGTCAGGCTGTTTATTGAAGCTATAGTTACTCTGGTTTGATTATTTTGAGGGAGGCGGAAACCACGTGACGCAGATCCACTGTGTGTCTATGACATCCTGTTCAAAAGCCACGACTGGAAAAAACAACCTGCCTTTATTTAACCCGCAGTGGCAAGGAGAAAGAAAGAGACATTAATGATAACACTTCTGACTATTGTCTTTCGCTCATGATCTTTTTCTTTCCCTCGCACCCCCTTTCGGACACAAAAGGACAGATTGGTGGTCACCACCACCC